CGGTCTAGGTCCACTATGGCCCGTTTGTCGGGCGCAGGGGCACGGACACGCTCGCGGGCGCGTTCCGGGCAGGTCGGGACGCACCCACTGCTCACACACGCGGCAGCCCAGACTGCGGAAGGGACTGGCGCCTGGCGCCCACCGCAGTCTCGGGGGGCGGGCAGCGCCTCTGAGCTGTTTGAGGAAGGAGACAGAGCAGGGCTCCCGAGGCGCAGCAGGAGCGCGGCCCGGAGCCCCCGCGTGCCCGGTGGCCGGGCTCCGGCCTCCAGCCCGGGGCGAGCAGCTGGGCGGAGCAGGCCCCAGGCCCTGCCCTGGCAGCACTCGTGGGCCGGCCCGGGAGGACGCACAGGGCAGGCCCCACACCCACGAGAAGGGGGGCCGGCCAGGAAGATGAGCGTGAGGCTGGGGGGCAGGAGCCGCGGGGCCAGCAGACGAGCGTCGGGACGCTCGGGACCCAAGTGTGACCGACGGCCCTTCTGGAGGGCCCCGGGGCCAGCGCAGGGCACCTGTGTGCTCTGCCTCTGTCCGTTTGTCCGTAGCCTCAGACACAGTCTGTCGATGAAAGGAAAAATAAAAGTGTGTGAAGACCTCAGCCAAGAAAAGCTGTGAGAGCTCGCTGCCGGGGTCTTGGAGCAACAAAAATTGCTCAAGGTTTCCCGAAGCGAAAGGCTACCTGGCAGGTACCTGCCGATGGACGGGCGGCAACGCGGAGCTGTTTCTCGCTCCTGAGGACTTGCGAAGGCGGATGACTCACGCAGGCGCAACGAGGGGTCTCCTGGGGATACGGCGCGTCCACACACCCACACCACACACATGCACACCCCCCACGCACAACACACACAGCATGTGTGCACACGCGTGCGCACTTATACAGGACACGTGCACACGCATGTGCAACACACGTGCACACGGACGCCGGCACGCGGACAGCACCCGCGCATGGCCGGCGTCGGGCCGCAGCTCTCCCGGAGGGGCAGAGGGCAGCCGCGCACGGGGCGGCCTTCCCTGCCCACTCCGCCTGCAAAGCGGAGTCACCTTACCCCAACACGCGCCAGGAAGTACTCTGTAGTCCCCAGGGCGGCCAGTGAGAGCTTCTAGAACGGTGCACGGCTAACGTAGCAGGTGGGAAGCAACGTTTCCTTTAAGGCTCGTTTAATTTTCTCGAAAAGGCAGGAAAAAGGAAACCAGCGAGAGGAGCTCGCGAACCAAATGCGAGAGGCGAGGTGGGCCAGACCGAGCCACGCAGCGGCGGCCGCGTCTGGGAGACACTCAGTGAGAGGCCGGAGGCCGTCCGGCGGGGTGGGGCAGCGAGGCCACTGTGTGCCTCCCGCCACACTCATCCCCCGTAAGAGGGACCGGACACAAGACAACAGCGCCAGCGGCGCTGGCGAGGGCCCGAGCAGAGGGGGCGAGTCTGCGCGGGGGCCCAGCCTCGTCCGGGGCCAGCCTTCCTCTGAGACACTAACACTGTTTCCTCAGCTGATTCCTGCAGGTTAGGAATTAGGGTTATGAAGAGGTTACAGCATGTAAGAGTTACCCAGAGGGTTTCCACAGAGAAGGACGCCACGCGGGGAGTGGGGGCGGGGGGCACTGCCCAAGGGGGGGACAGGTGAGGGGTCAGTGCTCTGCAGGACCCCGCCGGGGAGCAAGCAGCCCCGGCACCTCAGCAGAGCCGGCTGCGCTCCCCGAGGCGCCCGCAGCGCCCAGCCTGAATGCTCATGGCGCCTGGTGCCTGCCCGAGCTGACTCAGAGTGTGGGGTTCACAGCCAGTGGTTCCTAAACTTTGGCAGGGACTGGGGGGGTGTCCAGGCAGCTCTGGAACGGACAGTGTCCCCCCAACATGCACACAGCAGCTCCAAACACCCCGACACTGCAGAGAACTAAAGAACTTAGTAATTACAGATAAGTTATTATTGGGAAATATTAATGATTCTGTTGCACTAACCATATAAAACTACACTACCACATACAAGGAAATAAAAGCTATTAGTCATAAAATATTGAAAAGTAACTCACCCTTACTGGTTTCCTCCTATAAGCCAAGAACTGTGCTATGAGCTTTCTACAGTAGTTCATTAAGTCTTGACAAAAACCCGATTATTTTCATGTTTCTGTTAAGGGAACTGAAATTTGGAGAGATTAAGAAAGTTGCCTGCGGGGAGATGGGCAGAGAGAGTGTGAACCCCACACGCAGAGGGGACACGCTCTCG